AATTAATATTGACAGGATTGAGACAACCCAGTTCCTTCTGGATTCTTACGACTTTTCAGTCTGTATTCCAAATTATCATAATGAGGATTCACCCATGCTAGGTGGTTCCCGAGTAATTTCTATTCCACAGGATGAATCTGATGTGACTCTAGGCCATCTGGCTGAGCCCTTGGGAAAGGAACCCGGTGAGTTCCACAGACTACAAGTGTGGTATCATGGCTAGTGATCCTGTGGTCAAATGGCCCTGCTCAGGGATTCAAACTGCACATCAAAATGGTAGTCTCTTTAGTCTTGTAGCAAAAAAACAAAACAAAACAAAACAACACTTTAACCTGAGCCTCTCTCCCCAACCCCAACTTTTTCCATCTCCTTCCATCTTGCCTGCTTGCTTTTGCCTTAACTGAAAAAAACAAAAAAAAAAACCCACAAAACAATAGACTCATGATTAACAGAACATTTAACTTCTAGTAAAGAAAGAAAAACATTCCTCTTGCAGACCTAAGAGCCATTTTACAATTTATTCCTCCATAATCCTGCCCTGCCTATCTCATGAGGCAGTTGCAAGGACTGAACGCAATTATCTATATGCAAAGGTATTTTGCACACTACCTGTAAAGTACACAGCATGCGGGCAAGGCCAAAGAAAAACAAACTGGACCCAAAGTTAGGAAGGAAGGAGATAGTAAAGATCAGAGCAGAAAAATCAAACAGAGAAGAGAAAAACAATAGAAAATATTAGCCAAACTGAGTTATATCTTTGAAAAGATAAACCAAATTGACAAACCTTTAGCTAGACTAACCAAGGAAACAAGAGAAGACCCAAATCAACAAAATTATCAGTGAAGGACAAGACATTACAACAGATATCACAGAAATACAAAAGATCATAAGAAGCTACTACAAACAACTATATACCAATAAACTTGGGACAACCTAGAAGAAAAGAAAAAATTCTTAGAAACATACAACCTATCAAAAATGAATCAGGGGGAAATAGAAATAGGAAGAGAAAAATTAGTCATCCTCCAATATCTGCAGGGGATCGGTTCCAGGACCTCACACAGATACCAGAATCCTCAGATGCTCAAGCCCCTTGTATCAAATGGCTTAATAGTTGCATATAACCTATGCAATCTTCCCATATAATTTAAATCATCAATGTAAATGTCATTTGCTGGCATGTGGCAAATTCAGGTTTTGCCTTTTGGAGCTTTCTGGAATTTTTTCATTTTTTTGGGGGGGGTAATTAGGTCTATTCATTTAATTATTTTTTTAATGGAAGTATTGGGGATTGAACCCAGGACCTCATGCATTGCGGGTGCACTCTACCATTTGAGCTATATCCAAACCCCTGGAATTTTTTTTTTTAATATTTTTGATCCACAGTTGGTTGAGCAATAGATGCGGAGTTCACAGATACGGAGGGCTGACTGTACTGGTAAAGAGATTGCGTCAGTAATCAGAAACCTTCCAACAAAGAAAAGCCCAGGACTATACAGCTTCACTGAATTGGGCCAAACAATTAAATAAGAATTAACGCCATGTGGTACGTGTGTACAACGGAATATTACTGAGCCATCAAAAAGAACGAAATTTTGCCATTTGCAACAACATGAATGGAACTTTGGGGTATCATGCTTGGTGAAATAAGTCAGAGAAAGACAAATATTCTGTTATCATTTATATGTGGGATCTAAAAAATAAATGAATATCACAAAATACAAACAAATTCACAAACAGACTCACAGGTTTAGAGAACAAACCAGTGGTTACCAGTGAGGATGGTAGGTGGGAGGGGCAAAGTAGGGGTAAGGGATTGAGAGATACAAGCTACTATGTATAAAATAAATAAGCAACAAGGACATATTGTGAATACACAGTGAATACAGCCAATATTTTATGATTAATTTAAATGGAGTATAATCTATAAAAATATTGAGTCACTGTTTTGTAAACCTGAAACTAATAAAATTTTACAAATCAACTATACTTTAATAATAAAAATGAATTAATACCAATCCTTGTCAAAACTCTTCCAAAAAATGAAAGAGGAGGGAATACTCCCAAACTCATTTTATGAAGCCACCATTACCCTGTTACTAAACCCTGAAAAGGACACTACAAGAAAAGAAAACGGCAGGCCAGTATCCCCAGTGAAGATAGATGTGAATATTCTCAATAAAATGTTAGCAAACAGAATTTAGCGGTACACTGAAAAAGGATCATTCACTATGATCATGGTGGGATTCATTTCTGGCATACAAGAACAGTTCAACATACACAAATCAATAAATGTGATACATCACATTAACAGAATGAAAGAAAAAAATCATATGATCAACTTAGCAGATGCAGAAAAAGCATTCACGATAAAATTCTTCAAAAATTTAGGTAAGAAGGAACACATTTCAACATAATAAAGACTGTATGTGACAAGCCCACAGCTAACATCACATTCAATGGCGGAAGGTGCCCACTCTCACCATCTGTAATTAAAATAATACTGGAAGTCTTAGCCAGAGCAATCAGGCAAGAAAAAGAACAAAGGCATCATAGCTGAAAAGGAACAAATAAAACTGTGTCTTTGCAGATGACAGGATTTTATGTACAGAAAATTCTAAAGACTCCACAAAATGTGTTAGATCTAATTAATGAATTCAGTAAAGTTGCAGAATATAAAATTACTGTACAAAAATCAGCATTTCTACACATTAATAATAAATTAGGTAAATAAGAAATAAAATGATCCCACTTAACAACAGCATCAAAAGCAATAAAATAATTATGCCTAGCATAAATGTAACTGAAGTGAAACAGCTCTACAATGAAAACAAGACACGAAAAGAAATTGAAAAAGACACACAAAAAAATGGAAGGGTATCCCGTGTTAACAGACTGGGAGAATTAACTTTAAAATGACTATATTAACCAAAGCCATACATAGATTCACTGCAATTTATATCAAGATTTCAATGGCTATTTTTTTTAACAGTAGAAAAACAATCATAAAATATATATGGAACCACAAAAGACTCCAAACAGTAAAAGCAGTCTTGAGGAAGAAGAACAAAGAAGGAGGCACCGCGTTTCCTGAATTCAAGCTTCATTATAAAGCTATAGAAATTAAACCAGTATGGTAATCGCAAAGAAAGAGACACACTGGCCAGTGGAACTAAATCAAGAGTCCAGAAATAAACCCGTACACATACAGTCAACTAAAATTTGACAAGGGAGCCAAGAATACTCAGTGGAGAAAAGACAGTCTCTTCAACAAATGGTGCAGTGGAAAGCTGATATTCACATGTTAAAGAATGAAGCTAGACTCCTAAATTATACCAATCACAAAAATTATCTCAAAATGTAGGAACTTGAATATAAGACCAGAAGCCATAAGTCTTCTAGAAGAAAACACAAGAAAATAGCTCCATGAAATATGTCTTGGCAAGAGCGTTTTAGATATGACAATTAAAGCACAAGGGACAAAGTAAACAATAAACAAGTTGCATTACAACAAATTAAAAAGCTTCTACACAGCAAAGAAAACATCCGTCAACAAAATGAAAAGACAACCTATGGAATGGGGGAAATAATGCAAATCATATATCTGACAAGGGGATAACATCCAAAAGATACAAGGAACTCACACAAGCCAATAGCAACAAAACAAATAACTCCAACAATGGACAAAACACCCGAATAGACATTTCTCCAAAGAAGATGCACAAATGGCCAACAGGTACATGAAAAGGTGCTCAGTATCATCAGGGAAATGCAAATCAAAACTACAATCAAAGTGGGAGGGTATAGCTCAAGTGGTAGAGTGAATGCTTAGCACGCATGAGGTCCTGGGTTCAATTCCCAGTACCTCCTCTAAAAATAAATAAACAAACCTAATTACCACCTCTCTCCCCACCAAAAAACACGCAATCAGCTCATGTTGGTTAGAATGGCTATCAACAAAGAGACAAGAGAAAAAATACTGCAGAGGATGTGGAAAAAAGGGAATCTTGGTGCACCGTTTGTGGGGACTGTAATTGGTGCAGCTACTATGGAGAACACGGCAGAGGTTCCACGAAGATTAAAGATAGAACTAACCATATGATCCAGTAATTCTGTTTCTGGGAATATATCCAAAAGATGAAAATACTATGTCAGAGAGATTATCTGCACGCTCACGTTCATAGCAGCATTATTCACAACAGCCAAGAAGGGAAACAACATTAGTGTCCATCATGACTGGATGATGAAATTGTGTTGTATGTATGTATGTGGAATATTATTCAGCTATAAAAGAAGGAAATCCTGCCATTTCTGGTAACAAGGGTAGACCCTGAGGATATTATGCTAAGTGAATTAAGTCAGGCAGAGAAAGACAAATACTGTATGATCTCACTTATCTGTGGAATCTAAAAAAGTCAAAATCAAAGCAAACAAAATTATAAGAAAAGAGATCAGATTTGCAGTTACCAGAGGCAGGGAGTGTGGGTGGGGTGGAGGAATTAGATGAAGGTGGTCAAAAGGTACAAACTTCCAGTTATAAGAAAAGTAAGTACTGCGGGTATCAGGTTCAACAGGATGACTAGTTAACCACTGTTGTGTATTTTAAAAGTTGTTAAGAAAACGATCCTCAGACGTCTCATCACGAGAAAACTTTTTTTGGGGGGTGAGGTATTAATACGAGGTGATGGGTGTTAACGAAACTAACTGTGGTCATCACGTCACAATATATGTAAGTCAAGTCATTTACAACGTACACCTTAAATGTACACAATGCTTGTCAATAAAACTGGGAGAACTTTTTTAAAAAGCTACTTTTTGAACTGTGGGTAGTTTGTTAATCCAGCTATTACGTAACCAAAACAAGTGTACGATGAAAAGCCATGAAAACGCACTTTAATGACAAAAGAAGAAGAAGAAAAAAAAAAAATCGCCTTGAGATTTTATATTATGCCTTGAACTTAAATATACGATCCTATGTTCTGGACTGTATAATATGCCAATTCCATTTTAAAAACGATATGCATTTAATATTTCCCAATTACAAAAATATACATACTTATTACAGACAATTTAAAGAACAGAAGTATAAAAAAGAAAATTAAAAAAAATCTGCCATACAGAGATAATTTATCAGCCATAAAGTCCCACTCCATTTACATCTAGTTTTTCTGTGCATACATATTATAAGCACAATTTCCTTTTTCCACAATTGGGACCACTCTGATATAGTTTTTTTTTTTTTAATTGAAGTATAGTTACAGTGTATAGTAAGTTTTTTGTATCTTGCTTTTTTACTTAACTGGATAATATGATTATCTTCCTTTGCCCTTAGATATTGTTCAACAATTTTTAACAAACAACATCATAAAAATATATCATGTGGTTACACAGTTAACCCTTCTTCCTCTGGTGGGCATTTAAATTTAGCTTTTTTCCACATTTCCATTGTGTTTTTAAACCTGTAGATAAATTTTTCAAACGCAGCTCTGTGTGTAAATCTCTGACAATTTCCTGGAAGTAAAAATTCTGGGTCAGGGAACACAATTTGAAAGTTTTGCTACTTATCATCAAATTGCTACAACCTTTCTGGAGAGAAGTTTATAGTCCCAATTCCAGCGTCTAAGGATGTTTGTCTCATGCTACTCCAGCACTTAATATTACCTTAAAAAAATATATGCACATTTCTCATTGCTACATGTGTCTTACCTTTGCTTTGATTTGTATTTTTTTGATTACTAGTAATCTGGGCTTCCCACCCCATCACCAGTTTCTTGGAGATATTGCCTCCCTGTGAATTTATATGCACTGCCCATATTTCTAACTAGAGTGTTCATCTTTAAGAAAATATATTCACAAGGCTGTACTGTGATAGTTTTACGAAGGCTTTGTTGCCAGTTTAGTTTTACATGAAATCGTTCCAATCAACAGCAGAGGTATTGTTCTTCCCTCTGTAATTTCACAAGCTAAGAAAAAAAAATCAATTAAATAAAACCTCAGGCTGAGCCAAAGTCTGCACCTAGAAAAATTACATCAACCCAATCTCCCAATAGGTGATGGCACATGGGGATTCCTCTTCCCACAGCGCATGTTTATCAGGAAGCTACCCAGAAACAGGAAGTGCAGACATTGAGTGGTGACCTCTCTGATTCAAATGCAAAGTTTATTTCCTAAGGAACTCAAGATGTTTTGTCTTCTGATTCTGCCTTTTTTTACATGTTCCAGTGGTCCTGGTCTTAGGGTTTCAACTGTGAGACTGAGAAGAGAGGATGCAGGAACAGATACAGACCATCCAGCTGAGAGCGTGTTACATTTTCACACACCTGTTAAGACACTCCAGGGTTGACAGTCTTTTTAGCACAAACATTCCGCTTGGATGTATTTCCGTTTCCATACATACAGCTGTAGGTAAGAACAGAGCTGCCTCACACAGATGCTAAACAATTGCCTGTTTTCTCGATTCTGCCGCTGCAGTTTCTATGCTGGGCGTGGTGCAGGGTGTGCACATTTACACAACTCCTTTGGCATCATCAAAGTCACTGCAAAGGATGTTTGATACGAGCAGACTTGCTGCAGGGGACAAGCAGCATACTGGAGGATTTTTCTCTCTCAGCTTCATAGCTCTAGTCGACCAGCCACTGGCAGAAGTCACATTCCTTCAGCCCAGAAATGCTGCTTTCCAAAATCTTTTGGCAAAATCTCCTAGAGATTTGTTTTTCTGCTCCTTCCTAATTTAGAAACAGTCTTCAAAGGAAAAAAAAAAAAAGACAAATCGATGTGAGAAGAAATTAACTCTGATTTAATTTTTCATGGAAGGTTTCAGGGTTTATCAGCTACAACCAATAAAATTGGACAAGATCGTTTGTGGAGGAAAATTAACAAAAATGGGCATATACCCCCAAGATCAGATTGTATTTTTATTCAAGAAGCAACAGGTGATACAAATTCAAGATTTTATTAAAATCATTTGTAAGTGAACATAGTATCTGTGGTGAAGGAAGACTTTTAATAAAGCAAAGATAATGAGTTATGTGAATAAACAGAAAGGTGAACAGTGTTAACTGTGACATTCAAATGACTACATGATTTTAATCATTCTTTTCATAATAAGCAACTCTGTGAACATCTATGGAAGGAACTAAAAGCTGTGCCTTGGATGGAATTTGCAGCTGATTTAGAGCCTTTGGCAATTCCAAGGAAACAAATGGAAATGGTTTAAAGAACTTATAAAAAATCTGCCTCCGGCCAAAAATTTTAAAAGGTAAGGTGGTAAGCACTAGAAAGAGAAAAAGCCAAAACGCACACACACACATTGTAATTGTGAGACAGGACAAGAGAGAAGAGGAGGAATAATGAGAGAGCAATCAGAAGTCCAGCCCATGCCCACCCCTTATTTGTTCTTGGCTGTCAAGGGCTTCCGGCTGATCTTTTTCGATTTGTCATTATTTTTCTTCGGCGGTTCCGGGTTTGCCTGCATGTGTCTGCCGTAGAGGCTGAAAAGAGAGAAGGGGGAAACGGTGAGATCCACCGGATGAACACGAGGTAATGCTTCTACTGGTAGAGTTTTCATCAACAGATTCATCTCCAGGAACTTCTAGGAAGCCAAAAAAACCCAAAAGATCATTTGTTTTCTCTGGGGCATACGTTGTGTTTAGTCATTGTGAAGTGCCACACACACACACACACACACACACACACACTCTCTCTCTCACTCATTCCCTGCCATGAAGTCCAATTCTGGACAAGTCGCTTGGAATCGCACAGTCACTGCATGAAAAGAGCAAAGGAAGAGAGACCCAGGACTAGGAGGACCATAATGCACAGCCCAGCCGTTCCAGACTGAAGCTCCATGGGCTCCGAGTGTTTAAGTCGACAGTGACAAAAATTGGGTTGAGCTGAAAAGACAGAGTGGCCGCTTAGCGCAAAGTGAGCAGCATGCCGGCCCGAGAGCCCTGGGGCCGGCCAATGTGACAGAGAGCAACGGTGCCCGAGCCCGCCCTCGCGGCTCACGCGTGATGGATAGCGCCGGGACGGCGACCACCCATCAATGCCACGTTAATCAGCACCACTGATTAAATGTTGACAAAGTACCCCACGATTACAGCGGGTGGCATCCATCGCAGAGCGGAGCCGGCTCCGTGTGGCGGAGGGGACTGAACCCAACAGCAGATAGTAATTAATCAATAATTTATGAGTAATTCTGATTAAACTAAATTAAAAGCCACCCTAAGATAAATACAGCCCCACCTTAACTCTCCTTGTTGGTACCACTGTGTCCTCGAGAGAGGCCGGTGGGTGTCTCAGCGCTTCCCGAGGAAAGACGACGCCTGGCTCCTCTTGGTGCGGCTGCCTTGTGCCGCCTGAACAGGCGTGACACAAAGACTGACCTCCCTGTACAAGGTGCCCCCTGCTCCAGGGCCCACCCGAGGAATGGCCACTGTCTCTGCACTTGGCAGATACTGACGCTTCTGAGGACACTGACCCTGTAGGTGACGGGCCGAGGGATGGACCTGGCACTTGGAGTTGTCCAACTGATTTGGCGCTTAGGGAAAGCTGGACACTGGGTTTTGATAGGTCATAGTGTGGTCTATCTCCTCTGGAGGCTTCCAAGCATCTCCTTTTGAAGCGGTACATGCAGGGTCTACCAACAGTGGTTATCAAGATAGGTCTCTGCTCCCCGGGAGTGAGTCTGGCAGCAGACAGACCTGCAAGCTGAAGACCGGAAGTCCAGCCAGGTGCTGCGAATGTCCTCCAGGTAAAGGGGAGGGGGAGGGGCAAGGAGGTCCCACATGTCCTAGACAGGTAACACCAGAGCCTGCAAGCTGGCTTTCAACTTCTGCAGAAGTTCGCTTGGAGGACTTTTGGCTACTTGAATGGAGAGGCAGGCCCCAGGCTGTCCAGCCTGACAGTGGGTCGCCTTGAGCCTCACAGCAGAAACATCTTCCTCCCCAAGAGAACCTGCCACCCAGGGAAACAGATCTTAAAATCTGCATAGGCCCTCCTTCCTAGCACTTTGAAAGTGGCCGCTGGTTCCCACCAAAGTCTTTGTCATGGACACCTGGGGCCCTGGGTACAGCTAAAGAAACATCGCTTCAGGCAGAAAGAAAAGTTCAGCCAGTTCAGCTTTACCACTGCTGCCACTCCAAGATGTCCCTGTCCTTGTTGTCCTATATGGCAAAGGGGACTCTGCAGAGGTGATGAAGTTAAGGATCCTGAGACACAAAAGTGATCCTCCATTATCTGGTAGGGGATGGGGTCCAACCTGTACACCCCTTCCCCCACCCCACCCCCCACCCCCAGCATCTCTCCCAGATGCACCCAACAGGCAGAGGAAACCTTGACCAAAATCCAGTCATCCTTTATATTCCTCACCTTTATCAACACACTCTCTGAAATAAGCCTATCCTCAAAATCCCTGCCCATATGTCTTCTCCTCCTAGGAAGTTGCTTTCCTCAAGATCAGGGGCTTGGTGGTGCAGTGGGATACGCACCAGGGGCCTCTGGTCTCCAAGCTCCTCTCATCTGGTATGAAGCCAGGGTCTGACTCTCTGTTGTGGATTCCCAGGCACCTACGGTCTCAGAATCCTTGGTCCCGCTGCTTTCTGACAGCTTCATGTGTCTCCCCTCTAGTTTCCAAACTCTTATTCCCATAAGAGAAGAAGACATACACCTTCTTACTCATGGACAACATCAAACTTTAAGGATTACAAAAACGTGCAGAAATATAACTCCCTAGTTCATGAGCCTGGAAACTCAGTGATAGTCAGGTGCTGGGAAAGTGGTATCAACAGAAAGAGGTCAGAGCAGGGAGAAGAGATATTAAGACCTGATCAGGGCCTGCTGTGCACCACACCCTGAACCAGCAGGCACGGAAGGCTTCCCAGAACGGGTGGGGGTGTCGCTGGGCCCTGCTGGCGGCAGTAATCCAGCAGTCACCACAGAAGGCAGTGCCAAAGCCGCTCGGGACTCAGCAAGGCTCTTCTCAGGAAGGAACTGGAATGTTCCCGTTTCAACACATGCCTTTTTATGCTCAGACCCCACTGTGTGCCCAGCCCTCCTGGGGCTACACAGCACATCGCCCACTACAAAGGGCCAGAAAGGAGAACGCAGTCCTGAACTGGATGCTTAAAGTCCTCCCTTTGCCACTGATGAGCTGCTGGCTCTGGGCAAAAGATCGGCAAGCCTCACCCCCACTGTGCCTCAGTTTCTCCATCTGGAAAAAAACGATGTCGTTTTCTCCCAGGGTGGCCGTCGTGGTGGGTGGAAGGCGCCCAGCACCAGGGCAGGCCTGGAAGCAGACAGGGAGGGCTCATTGAAAAACAGGACGCATGTGAGGTCATAGTCAGACTGATTAAATAAGATCATTAGATGATGACTTACATCTTCAGGGCATTTTCCTCTGAAAAATAACATGGTATTTTCCTATCCATGCCAAATGCCCAAACCTTTCTGGAAGGAAAGTTTGACTCCTCTTTGAAGGAAGCCACCAAAGCAGAGCTAAATGCATCGCCCCACTTCCTCCGTGAGTCACCAGCGGAGCGGGGCTGACTGCGCGGCGCGGCGTGAGCCTCTCCGTCCCCCAGCCGCGTGGGCGGGTGAGAGTCAGTGCTCCACTCTCCTGGGAGGCTGGACAGATGACAGCGCCCGCTCCCACCTGGAGACGCGGCTGTGGCAGAGCAGTAAGGATGAGCATCTCAGAGTCCAAAGTCTTGGGTTCCATTCCTGGCACCACCAGCTACTGGCCACGTGGCCTCCATTCCGGAAGTATGGTGGGCAGAGTACTGCCCCCTCCCCAAATGCCCACATTCTACTCCCTGAAACCTGTGACTCTGTTTCTTACATCACAAAGGGACTTTGCAGGGGTGATGAAGCTAAGGATCTTGAGACAGAAAGATTACCCTGGATTATGTGAGTGGGCACCATGTAATCACAACTGTCCTTTTAAGAGGGTGGCAGGAGGACTAGGGTCAGAGATCTGAACGTGCCACGCTGCTGGCTTTGAAGACAGAGGAAGGGGCTACCAGCCAAGGAACACAGGCAGCCTCCAGACGCTAGGAAGGCGAGGAAACGCGTTCTCCCCTAGAGCCTCTGGAAGGATGAAACCCTGCCGACACCTAGATTTCAGACTTCTGACCCCCCGAACCTGCGAGGTAGTACATACATTTGTTCTGTTTCCGGCCACTAAGATCACGGTAATTTGTCAACAGCAGCCATAGGGAACCAACCCAGTAGGTGAACCTCTCTGGGGCTGGCAGTGAGGATTCTGCTTCATTTCAGCAGAAAAAAAAAATTTTTTTTTTAATCTAGGGTAGTAACTCACTGAAAAGAAGGAAAATTTAAAAGCGAGGTTGCAGGAAGGGCACAGAAGGTGTGTGCCCCCAGGAAAAATGGGGGATGTTTCTACCAGGAGAGAAGGGGGTGGGCAGGCCGACCGCCCCTCCCCGCTTACTACAGTGAGACGGCAAGGTCCCAGCTCCCTGCGTGCTCGGAAGCTGACAGTCATGGCCCTTGTTCTAAATGTACCCGGGATCTAATTTACGGGAGTGACTGAGTGATGGGACACAGACATCCATGCCTTTGAAAGAACTTCCATTCCACGCAGTTCCCACGAGGAGCCACAGCACACGAGGCCACGTGGGGGAGCCCAGGGTGGCTCAGGAGGCTCGAGGCTCACGGGAGAGGGCACAGCCGAGTCTTTAGGATGGTTTCACGGGAAGGCAGGGGTGAGGCAGGGTAGGTGAGTATGAGTGAGTTTAGAAGCAGACAGTTGGACTAATTTCAGGGCCCAGAGCTACGGGGTGATCTCCAGTCGTCCAGTGCCTGGGTCTGGGTCTGGGTCTGGGTCAGGGGAAATACTGGCTTGGTGCACGTGAGTTAGGTAAACGTGGTGATTGGGGTCAGGGTTTAATTTCTTTGGATACGAAAGGCAACGCTAACAGATGGGTTGTTTGCTCCTCTAGGAATGAGCTACCTTGGGAGGGGCAGTCTCTCCCCAGCCAACAAGACCCCCAAGAGGTCAAAGCATCATAAAATACAGGAAGTGGAAAACAGGACTGATACAGTCAACAGCTTTTGGGATGGACTGTGGTCCCCCTGACCGCCCCATACCCTCCTCTCATGACCCACCTTCCAGCTACTTTAGCTCGGAAGATGCCAACAAACCCTCAGACCCCGGGACAAGGTGCTTCCCGGATGAGCACGCCCCTTCAGGGCTCTGCCCTGCTGGTACCCCTCCTGCCCTACTGGAGCCCTGGAACCTGCGTGGGGGTTTATGCAGAACAGTCCTGGGGCCTCACTCTCCTTTGCATTCCTGAACCCCATTTACCCCGAGACGTGTGACACTGACAAAGCGACTAACTTGCCACAGTCTGAGGTCCTCATCTGCAATATGATGAAAATTGCTACCTTGCAGGGCTTGGGGGGAAGAGGGGGTTAAATCAGACACGGACAAGGTCCTATCAGAGCAGGTGTTCCAAGGCAGCAGCTGCTGCCT